GTGGTTCACACAAAAGTTTGATCAGCAGATGCATAGTGTTGGGTATTTGTGACTAAATATTGTTTGACATCAAAGGATTGTCATGCTTAAGTAATACAATTTTACTTTTAAATATTAGTAAGGGTGGTGATAATGATAGTAAATAAGTATGATTAAAACCATGGCCTCGAAAAATTGACTTAATTTTTTACAGGCTCAGTCTCAACTGAGTCTCGACCCTCCCAAAGTCTTGGTCTTCACTCGGTCTTTATCTTTCAAGGTCTTGATTCAGTATGGGTGGTCTGGTCCCTTTCATTAATGACTAATGTTAAATGGATTATTTTTTTCCCCAGAGTTCAGTCTTCCTGTGCTCCTTGGCCTGACTGGACATTTTCTCATTTCATCCAGTTCCATAGTATTCCTACATTTAAGAGATTTTTTTCAGATTTTTTTTTTAAAAAGATGAACTTTGTCATTATTTTACACTTCATTTAGAAATTGGAAGATACATGTGATGCAGCTATTTGTAATTATTGTAATTGTTACAATTACTGTCTTGCACTGCAATGGGGGTAAAGATGCACAGGTATGTCCACATGAACTGTCTGCTTGAAAGGAAGAGTAAGAGAACGTCTGCCTCTTGCTGACACCATATTGTCAAGGGATTCAATTTCTATGAATTGTATTGAGCCCCAGTAGAAAGGGGAAATTAGGCAGAGCTTTTAATAGAGTTGGGTGGGTGGTTAGTTGTTAACAGGATACCTTCAGTTCTATAATGCACATACTGTTATAGTGACAGTCTAGTTCAGTTCAGTTTCTGCTCAAAATTGCTTGACCCTGGATTAGTTTTTCCAGCTAAATGTTCCTGTTAAAAATCAGTGATGAGGTACTCATTGTATTCTGGTATGTCGATAGGTTCACTTTTGCATAATTGTCCTCTACCTATAGCTTAGTCAATGCATAGCACAATGCATCATTCATGGAATTCCAGCAAATTTGTTGTCTGCTACTGTGAAATCTTGATCCTCTTCCAGTTTATCTTGCATTATCCAATTGTAAAAATATTCTTTGCTCTATGAAGTGCAACAAATGTGGTACCATCGGTCTTTGGGGACAAGTGTGTTACTTGTCCTGATTCCATTTTGACTGAGTTGTTAAGTTTATAGTCATTATTGTGCTTTGTTGTCTAATCAAATGACTAATAACTTATGAGTCAAATCTAATGTGGTTTTTTTCTCGAAAGCTCTAGTATAAAAAATCCCCAACAGCCTATTGAAGATGTACTGTCTAACTAGCCACTTTGCTTCTTTGTCTCCAGATTTCACCACCCCTTCCAGCCGTAAGAGATGATCCTGAACCTTTTGAGGTTGTATTTTGTTTTATGTAATTATGTAATTTGATTTATTTGCATTTGGTAGTGCAGGTACCTGGTCCTTGCAGATATAGGGGACCCCAACAATGTGTTATAAAGATTTAGCGATCAGTTAGCTCTACTCCTCAATATATTTTTTACATGTTTTATTTATGGTGTACATAATGTATGAATCTGTGTATTCAAATCTGTGAAAGACAGAATGGCATTTTAAAAAATCTGGAAACGGCACATTTTGTTTGCTGTTAAGACTCTAAAGTTTCTGCCAAGTTACCCAATGGAAAATCGCAAATAGAATTATTTGAACTTCTATGATTCTGGGAGGAAGCCCTTCTTAGAGATGTCGTATCCTCTAAAGCTTTTTTGTCTTGTTTCCTCTGATAGTGTATACAAATCTAATACATCTCCAGTCAGCTGTCTCCCCAGGTGAATCCAACCACAGGAAACAAGTTCATCTTCATGTACTGACTTAGCTGTACTGCTATCATTCCCAAAAGCACTTATGTTACTTGTTGACTTTGATCTTCATTTGATCTTCATTGTGAAACATTTCTTTGCAGTCTTTTCATTATATTTGTTTGGATTTATTTGTCTATCTTAATTTTTCTCTATTACAAATCACAGTAGCACTTTTGTACTCTCTTCATCTGCTTTACGATTCCTGTCAATACAGCCATACAGTAAGATTAGCTCTCCTTTAGATCTCTCCTAAAACATGTAGATTTCCCTGTCATATGATTTACTGCCTTCTGAAGCTGTTAATGAAACAATTATACATTTGCTGTATCTGTAAATGATTTCATTTATCCAGAGGATAAAGTTACCTGAAGATGAAGATTGGTTAAACCCTTAAACCTAAACAATGCAAGGTCCACATTGTGGCAAATACGCAGAAAGAGAAACCTGCAAGCTGCACAGCTTGTAGAAATGAGTTTGGTGCCTGAATTCAGCCCATTTGTTCTGCAGAAGAAAGCCGTCTTTTCACCCTCTCCTCGACTCTGATGTTGGCCGGCTGCGTATTATTTTGGGATAGCTGTTTGTTCCCTCAGGTTGCTTAATCTAGGTTCTGTGGCCATTACACACTTTCACAAAAGGCTCAGAAAAACAAAAAGCTCCATGCCCTGACTCTATTGAGAGGTTGTTAACAACTAAGGCATCAAAGCCCTTCTCTACAACATTGACTATATGTTGCTTCTTAAAAGAGCGGCTTGGACCCAGAGCAGCAGTTTCAGGGTGAACTGATGTCATGGCTGACCGACAGTGGAAAATTAATTTTGATTTTATCGGTTTGTTTTGTTTATTTGTTTGTTTTTTAGGTTCTTCAGTTTACAAAATGTATAATATGAACGATATAAAAGCTGTTTCCCTTTAGCTGTGCATCTGTGTGAAGGTCCACCCCCCCCCCCCCTCCATGCCCCCACAGGGGTCGCCTGATTGCCTTCCTTCCTCTTCCTTTCCCTCTAAAGACCTGCTGTCCTTCCTCTCACTCTACTCACAGTCTAAGAGAGCAGCAGGACTGAAATTAGAGGACTCTGAGCTGACTGTAATCTTATGCATGTGCAGTTGTATATAAGTATATTCTATGTATGCTTAGCTTTTCTCTTATTATTTTTGGAATCGGAAATTGGACTACATAGATCACAACATCTAAAAAATTGCTATTGGTGGAATCTCAAGTCAACTCAATCACTTTTTAAAACAGACACTAGAGTTTCGGTTTATCTGTTTTCTTTTTTTTGTTCTTGGTTAGGAACAAACCATTCATTGCATAAAGGCAAAAGTCAATCAAATCCCTATAAAGATACCGGTACAAACATGACAGTGTGTGTGTTTCCTGTGTTGGTACATGGGTGTGAGACTGTTTCTATTCGTGTTTTTGTGTCTTACCAAAACACTTGTGTGTGTGCATGTTTGTGACTGCCTATACATGTGGACAAGAGCACACGTGCTTGTGTGCACATGTGTGTACTCTGCTTACCCCGTGTTTGGAGCCTGCTCTCTGGGTCAGCACCACACAGCCCAGGGTCTCGGTCCTACAAAGGCTCATTATTCCCAGCCCTGCACGGCTCAGGGGAAGAGCTGCCTGGAGCCCCCAAAGCTCGTCTGGGTGACATCTGATATTGCTGTGTTTGGGAGCACCGCAAGAAGGTGTTGATGCATCCATAGGCCTTTGGACTGGTGGAATTGGACAAGCAGGGTTTAAGAAGAATCTGTGTCCCAGCAGTAATCCCCCTACTGAATATACAGACACTTTAGTTCAGTGCAGGTGTAGAAGTGCCAGGAGAGATGCAGAAAGAATGCATTTTCTGTTAATATGTTGCTAGTGGGTATCCATGGTCACCCTCTTCCTTCTCTGTAAATAACAGGCATGTGGGATGTTGCTTGGATGAGATTTAGTGTGATTCTTCTGCTAAACTGGGGGTTTGATCCATCTTATCTCACAAAGTTGGCCTGAAGACACTCAAAGACAACATGGGGCATTATGCAGGGAGACACAGGGCAGTCATTCATACATACACTACGAACAATTTATAGACGCTAGTTTGTCAAACTGCATGTTTCGGGATGCAAAAGGAAGCATGAGTACAGAGAGGAAACTCATGCAACATGAGAAGAACATGTAAACCCCACAGACAGATAAATGGAGGGATTCAGTCTCCCAGTCTGGAGGTGTGAGATGACAGTGCTAGTCTCTCAGCCATTCTACTGCTCTATTTTAGCCTTGTGTTAGCAAAAACAAAATCCAATATTGTAATTTGGTATTGTAGAATACAGGTGTCAAAACAGAAATCATACAACCTAATAATGCTTCATTGTAATTACTTTTTCCATCCATCTTCCAACCACTAATCCCGGACCGGGTCACAGGAGAACCTGGATCCTGGAAGAACCTATCCCAGAGTGTAAGCGTGTTAGGCTGGGCAACACCCTGTGCTCTACCGTGATGCCAGTATTTCAACATGCACACACAGATCACCACACACTTAGGCCAGTTCAAAGACAAACTAGCTTAATTGCAAGTCTTTGCACAACAGGAGGAAAGCAGAGCATCTTGATGAAACCCATCTGACATTGGGAGAACATCCAAACACCACACACAAATCAGAGAGAGGTGTGAACCACCATGCCACCATAGCAATGTTTGATTTCTTATTATCCTTTATGGATTCCGGTTACGAATGCACCAGTCTGTGTAATATAAAAGGCCACTCATTTGAAATGACTAGCAAACAATCACGTCCTTCAGCTTCAAAGAAATTCCAACTTGCTGTTTAATGATGGCACTCTGCCCACAAGGCTGGTCGCTGATTGATCAGATGGGAGTTTCATTCCTCTTATTTGATGGTAGGCTGTGTTTTGTCACCACATGGGTGAGACTCTAATATGGGTTCCACTTTATGTAGCAAAATGATAAAGGAAATTTGGTGTTTGTGTGATTTTGCTTTTTTACATCTGTTTATCAGGCATAAATTTGTTGCATAAAGGTAAATATCATGGTTGTTTTATCAGTGCTACAACACATTGTATACTGTGCTAGGTCATTGTTATGGCATCCAAATTCAATTATTTAAATATAGGCTTCTTAATGTCAAGTTGTTTTCAGCATACTGCATTCCTCAAAATGTTAACAACTGGGCATGATTATCTGTACTGTAACTTCAATTTATTGTTTGATGCGGGAGGGACAGATAGATTTCATGTTTTATGGCTCATCTTGTCTGATATACGCCAGTTTTAATGACAACATTAAAATAAAATATCCATGTGTTCTCAAGAAAGGAAAAAGAACAAAAACTGAAAATAAATTATCAAAATAATACTAAATTTTTGAAATTAAATTTATAATTTTGTTTCCACATTTTTAAAGTCCTTTGAAAATAAAGTCCAGCATGACATACGTAACCTCATGGAGCATTTTCTTCATTTTTCTCTGTGTATTTGTCTTCGTTGCTACATTTACAATATTTGCAGTTCATCTCGCTGAGCAGGGGGTGTTCCCCAGCATCGCAGTAGGTCTTATTAAAAATGGTGGAGAATGGTGGATTGCTGTGGTATCTGAAAACTTTCTCTGGTACCAAGTAAACAAATATGCACTGTAAATTCTCAACATTATTCCTAGAGAGAAGGAAATTGGAGGGGACACAATGTTCCTCTTGACCAGCATATCTGCAGTCTTTCAAGAAAAAAAAAACAGCCAAGATGCTGATTTAAGATCATCTTCCTTTCAGTAAATCCAGATTAGATCAGGCTCTCTCAAACAGGGACTGTCTCCATTAAATCCATGGAATAAAATCAGGCCTCCATCTCCCGACCCATTCTCATTCCTCTTCTGAGGAGAGAGTACCACAGTGTGTGTGGGGGAGGGGGAGCCTAAAGTAGAGAGCAGAGGGTCTCAGTGGTGGGTGAAGGAGGGGTGAATCGCTGTGGGGGTCGGCAACATGTGTGCGGAGTGGCTGAAGGAAGCCAAGTGCCCCAGGTGAGACATGTGCCCTGCAAGTGCAGCACTGCTGAAAGGTGATGGCTTGTCCTGCATGCACTTGGGAAGCTCCTCAAAGCTTTCACCACGCTTGTTCTTCTTTGACTTGTTGGACATTTTGCGGTTTCGTGTCTGGATACCTTCCTTCTTCATGGTTAGTGGTCGGTTCACCTGCATAAGAAAACAAGATTAGAGACAACTTGGATTCTGCATGCTGCATATTCTGTAATAAGCATGATGAATATCTTTGTCGAAACTTCTTTTAACTACGTATGTTTCCCATAAACGTCTATTAAAATAAAATATATTACTGCTCCAAAAGATTTTTTTTTAATTCTCATAGTATGTTTTTGTGCAAACCAGCAGTAATGCCACGCTTAAGAAAAAAACCGCAAAACAACGAAAATGCCAAGGAACATTTAAAAACTCTCCTTTCACTGCTTTTGGTATCGTGAGTTTTTCCAGTTGGTTGGAAGTACCTTAAATACCATAACGAACTGGTGTGAGACTTACGTAGACTCTCCGGTTTCCGCCAAAGAATACCTACTCAGAATGCACAGTGACGGGAGCAACGCTAAATATAAGAGGACTACTTTAAAAAAAAGATCCCATCAGCCTAACTGACCCCGTTGTCTGAATGGCTGCCCCACCCTCGCAGCCCCCCTAGAGACGCTTCACTTAACAAAATGATGTAAGGAAACAAAAACGGCCACTGGCTTGTGCCTGACAGGCTACAAGTCCCCCCTGCCATAATCAGTACAAGCTGTCCGCCCACTTCAGCGTTTCGCCCGCTGTTTTTGTGACAGCCGCACGGAACTTACGTTGTGCAGTTTGTAGTAGAGGCCGCAGGCGTTGCACACCGGGTCTCCGTTCCCGTTGCGTCGCCACAGAGTTGTCGTGGTTGTCTGACAGTTAGCGCAGCAGGTGCCAGCTCGTCTCGCAGCGGACTGGAAGCAACATAAATAGATTCTTTTATAACGTTTCGCCGCGTAGTTGATGGGGGAGGGGCAACATTTATAGAAGGATGCAGTAGAATGAGTTTTGCGTTTTGATGAATTTTTGTTTCGGGAAACGGTACCTTTCACGCGCAGTGCTGGAGTGTAATATATTCAGAAAGAACACTTTAGTCGTGCGGTCTGTCTTAATTACTACAGTAAATCCAAATACTCTAAATTCCACCTTATTTTAAAATGTATATTTTTATTATTCATTGGTGAATTATAGCGTTGCTCAGGCCGTTTGGAGTTTTGCTCGTTTTCTGGGGATCGGTCTCCCATTGTGGGTTTTGACTTGGGGTGATTCAGGGCGGCTTGTATCCTGCATTGTATCTTATACCCTTCGCAGATCGATTATTCACACTTAATAAGAAGCATACAGCGATACAATGCAATACGCCTAAAGCGATAGTAACTTCCATACAACATATTTCATGCCTGCAACTTTGCAGCTGATATAACATCTTTCCGCTAATAGTAAATTAAATTATCTTTAAACAAAACCGAACCGGTGTAAATAAAAGTACGCAACAAAAACCTTAAGTAGACAACACAATATCCTTGGATAACAACGCACAACACAAACACAAATCCATTAATTTTCCCATTCCCTGAATCCCCCCAGCTTCTTTCTAGACACATAATTGGGTGTTTCGGTGTTTTTATAATCGCTATGACTATATGTCAGTGTCTGGCTATAGAAATTTCAACTCCGTTTGTTGAAGACGGAAACACCAGTGAGTCCGGCTTCGTTATCGGTCCCAGTCAGATATCCGGATAGGAAACAACTGGATGGCCTTTGAACGAGCTCTAAAAACACCCTAGCTGAAAACTACAAAGAGCAGCGACGACTGACTCCATGGAAAACATAATGGACTTTTCAGAAAGCAGGAATGAGTCAGAATCGAAAAAAGGAAAACGAAGTACAACTGTATAAGCCAGTTTGTAAATTCTGAATCACTCGTGACTTATGGCTTCATTCTAAATCTCTCTCTCTCTCTCTCTCTCTCTCTCTCTCTATATATATATATATATATATATATATATGTATTCAGCCCCCCTATTTTTGTCTCAGTCCCTCTGAAAAATAGTTTTTCTAAAACCAATTAGCGTTCTGCAAATTCGGTGGGAAACCCCCTTCGTCTCTCCATATTTAATAATGGTAGGTGGTGTCCCGTATTTCTTCAGCCCCCCCTAATAATCTAATCCTAGAATCGCCCCTAGTAGAGACCAAATCAGAGCCGAAACACCCGTCCACTAAACACACACGTTACTTCTACAATACTGGTAGGGACACGTCGATCCCTACCGTTCATAACCAAAGATACGCCCTTGCTTGACCGTCTGATATACCGTCTTTCTTAATGGTATGCTATTTATTTATGTATTTTTATGTATTGTATCAGTGTGTCTGTATATATACGTTAATAACAAAACTATGCAAATTAATCATGTGTGTTAGTGGTATAGGCTATCTGGATTTTTATCGTAATATTTATTACCTTATTTGGCTTAATGGGGGATCATAAGTCTTGGTTTCGAATGTTTTCAGAAACAGCACAGTGACAAGACGTCATTTGTGTTTGTGCAGTTAAGTCAGGCAAAAAATGCAAAACAAAATCTAACCTTGTCCTTAAAACAACATATTTGGAAAATATGTTAAAACTAAAATATTATTACAATACAGATATACATAAAGTAGCTTTATTTCATAGTTAGTTATTGGACACGGATTAAAAACAGAAGTTTCACATGTTGAATGTAAGCATAGCCTAGTAACACTGCATACCAGGCTTGGCTGTTTCACATTGTAAGAATTTAGGTAGAGAACTGTTTATTTAACCTACTTGTATTTCCCATGTATGTATTGTCTGTGGCAGTATCACAGATTTTATACATCTGAATTGATATATACGCACACACTATATGAATAAAAGTATTGGGACACTTGGCCATTACACCTACAGATGTAAATCCATCAATATGGGGTTGGTCCCCACTTTGCAGCTATAACAGCTGCCACTCTTATAGGAGTGGTTTTCCACAAGATTTTGAGTCTGTCTTATGTTAGATGTGAAGCCCTGGCTTGCAATCTCTGTTCTAGTTCATCCTAAAGTTGTCTGATGGGGTTGAGGTTAGGGCTCTGTGTGGGCCAGTCAAGTTCTTCCACACCAAACTATCCATCTATTGTCCAAACTGCTTCTCCTTCTGGGTCACGGGGGGTCCGGAGCCTATCCTGGAAGCTACAGGTATGAGGCAGGGAACAACCCAGGATGGGGGGGGGGCTCTCACAGGGCACACTCACACCTATGGGCGATTTAGTAACTCCAATTAGCCTCAGCATGTCTTTGGACTATGGGGGAAAACCAGAGTACCTGGAGGAAACCCCATGACGACACGGGTAGAACACGCAAACTCCAATATTATATTATATTATATTATATTATATTATATTATATTATATTGTTTTATGTTATTTTGTTGTATATGTCTTTTAAAATTTAAATAATGAAAACAAAAAACTGAACAGTTTAAAATAAATATTTTCATTTAGATATGAGGGTACATCTTAGGGTCATTTCAATTATTATTTTTGCTAATATCTGAACATACTAAACATTTCAAAACTGCCTCCACTAGATAAAAAAAACTAACCGAAAGTGTTTAATTGATGTACCCTTTGAGATCAACAATTATCACCGCAGCACAGTAATTGACATAACATTGTGACTCAAAGTAGCATAGAGCCCTACATAAGCTTAAATTCTGATAGATTTTTTCTCCTTATAAAAACATTTTTTTCTTGTATAAAAATGATAATGAAATAAGCAGCAGTATTGGTATCAGTGGCAGTATCAGACGTAGCAGTAATTATGATAGGAATAGCAATCCCAATAGTAGCAGAATTGGTATCAGTGGCAGTATCAGAAGTAGCAGCAATAATGATAGGAGTAACAATCCAAATAGCAGCAGTGTTGGTATCAGTGGCAGTATCAGAAGTATCAGCAATAATGATAGGAGTAACAATCCCAATAGCAGCAGTATTGTATCAGGTGGTGTAGAAGATCACCAAGGGTGAGTGTGAAGTACAATTCCAGGAAGCCGATAGGAAAATATAACTTTCCTGGAATTGTACTAACAGTCTCTACTTCTGTTCTAATTTGCCCCCTTCTCGGCACTGTTTGAAAGTTTGTGCTCACCAATCTGCGTTTGGGTTTGATGAGGGGTCGGTTCTGGCCATTCATCTTGTGGTAGAGGCCACAGGCATTGCAGAGGTAGTGTCCAGTGCCGTCCCTCCGCCACAGGGGTGTGGAGGTGGCCCCACAGTTGACACACTCACGGCCCTCTGAGCAGTATACAGGTTCAGGGGACAAAGGAAACATTTATAAAATTAACATGCAAATGAAACAGTAACAGCAGTTTCAGTTTATGAAGACACAGAACATCAGGTCAGAAACTGCCTGGTTAAAATAAACAAACAGAACAGTGTATATCTTTAGTTACTTAATGCAATCATTCAGTGAATTTTTTAAACAGTCAGTTTCTGAAAATGACAATATATTAAATGCATATAGACGCAGCTGCACAAATAACACTTTTTTCCATCAGCATAGTTCGATTGCACTGAGCAGTATGAAGAAAAGCCGAGAGCAACAGAGATGTTAAGGAGCTTCAGCTGTTATGTTGCTGTTGAATACATACCAGTGCTCTGTAGTTTAGAACTTTCTTATTATTCCTGTGCATGTTTTCCAGTTAGAAAGGGTTGTGTGGTTGTTAATGAAATCAACTTCACTGCACACTTTACTACAGACTTGTAAAATGTTTGAGGTTGAAATCTTAGGAAGCATAGTCTTGTAACCCGGAGAAAGCGTATCTACATTTCAACTCCCTTCTAATTCAACTCTAAGTCAAAATGGGACACCTGTTAATTTAAAGAGACCATACGGTAAGTACATAATTAACTGTGTGGTTTTAATGATCATTGTAATGAACATAAGTCAACATTATTCTGATCCCAGAATAGCCTAACAGATTGGCTGTGAATGTCCATTTACGCACTTTGTCCACTGGTTGACTTAACTTCTGCCGTAATTTATAGCTACTATAACCTGTCCGAGTACCAAGTAATTAAACGGCAATGTACACCAAATGTCCAAAGCATGTTGAAGAACAGTATAACCTTCGAAGCCTCATCTTCTGTGTCCCCACCTGCTACTTAATAGTACCTGCTGCTGGATGGCTGCATCCTGTCTACATTAGATTCACATTTGAGCTTCTACAATAGGTCATATTGTACCAGTAAGCCAGACATGCATTTATGCATAAAAATTAACTGCATAAAAAAACTTTGGCTGACTGTTCCATGTTCCTTTATTCTGTCTCTACCTCAAAAGGTGAATATTTTACATTTTATATCCGTACTTTGGATGTGACGCCACAAACGGTTTTGTTCATAGTGCTGAGTAATGCATGCAATCTTGCATGTGCATGTGCAAGCAGAGTCATTGTCTTGTTCTAAAGACAATGGCCAACTTCTTCAATATTTAGAACATTTCATTACCGTTTAGCAACTCTAAATTCCTATCATTCAGGGCACTTGAACTTGACTCATTTGAACATTTCCATCACATTGGCATTGTCTTCATGAACAACCCCCATAATCAAGACAGCATTGAGTGCACCATGTACTGTCTGCTTTGCATAATTATAGTCTGAAGATCCAGAGAAAAAGCACCTTTTTCAAATCTATTACCTACTTTAGCCAGATGCTACTGCTCTAGCCACTACTTATGCTAGTCCATTTGCCACGACACAGACGATGTCCCAAGAGTAATCTTATTTTCTATTAAGTTTTTCTTTCAATGGTATTTTTATGTGTATTGTGGTGAGAGATTTTTCTTTGCCTAAAACACATTTTTGCTTATTTTAGTTTATTTATTATGCACCTTAAAACGGATGAATGCAATCCTGCGTTTTCAGGAAGTTTGAAAAGTGAAGTGACAATGCAAACGTATAATAACGGCATCAGTGTGAATACTGAAACATGGCAAATAGGGCTTTCAGTCCCTATTATTATTATTATTATTATTAATATTATTATTATTATTAGATCATTTGATCAGCAAATTCTCGTCGAAAAAAACTAGGGTCGTGATTTATAAGAAAGCACGACGCCTTAACGTAATGGCCCAATGTATTATTTTGTTTGCGTTACGAAGAAAGGGAGTTCAAGAAAACATGTGGCGGCCGGAGCGTCCGGGACTACACAGGATACGGCAGGCGACGGAGCGTCGTGACTGGAGCTTTTTGAACTATTTAGCATACTCGCCATAAAAGTAAGAAAAGGGAAAGCAAACGCATACCAGCACAGAAATCATGAACAAAATAATATTATACAATTTGGACATCATTTTATAAAAACCATTCAGATTATATAATTTAATAGAACTTGCTCAATCAACGGATTGCCTCTGGTATTTCAAGTGTTAATCACCATTCATAATTATAGCGTAAATAGAACCTTTCAAATATGACAGTAGGTAAGCATGTCAATATTTACACAAAATAAATTTAAATAAAACCTAAATTAACACACGCAAGTATTTAATTAAAATTGAACGCCGCTTTGTGCAGATATTGGATACTTAATTTAATGCGTGCTTGCTTAACTTTAGTCATTAAGTAGTATTTTTATTTGTTAAAATATGTCAGAGGTATATATCTTCAATTTCACACGGCATATTTATTTATCGGCTGTGCAGCATTCTGAATCCGTACCGTGACACTGAATTGACCAAGCAATGAAAAACATAAATATCACGTTGAACAGTATTAGTGTCTTTCGGTTTAAAATTATGTGGATGTTTAAATTAAACTCTGTATGCCTATAGCTATCAATAAAATATGCTTAGTTGATTATTATTTCAATTATTATTAAATTCATATATCTTGTTATTTTAGAGCAAGGCATAACAAAATATTTACATAATGACTCATTTCTGACTTTAATTAAATCTGTCACGAGTGTTTTCATGTCTTCCACATTCATGAGTTCTACCAGTTTCATTTTGCAGTTACAAACTGAACTGTAATACGGACTGTAAAGTCAATGTGAACACTTTGAAAAATGTTTTGTTTTGGAATGACAAACATTTCGTGAATTGGTTCATATAACCTGGGATGGGCTGCCCCCCGTCCTGGGTTGTTCCCCGCCTCGTGCCCGTAGCTTCCGAGATAGGCTCCAGACCCCCCGCGACCCAGAAGGATAAGTGGTTTGGAAAATGGGTGGATTCATATACCGAAGTACGGTAACGCAAAATACCACACGAAATGCTGACAGTGGCAGCTGGTAGTAAAAATAGTTTGTGGCTGTGGTTTCGACCGTTTTATCTTGCGAGGAACATAATGAGGCTCACCTGAACTCGACCTTGCCTTGGATTTACACTTCGGTGTGAAACCGGGGGCTCCGCCGAGCAGGCTGCCGTGGTGGAAAAGGCCGCTGCTGTAATCGTGTGGAGTTGGGAGAGGGTAGGCTGGATACGTCGGGATGGGATGGTGTGTGGAGGTAGTCTGGGCATTTATTGAAGTCAGGCTGTTACGTATCGGACTGCATCCTTCCATTTTCAATCCATCTGATATTGATAGCTGGTACTTGATGGACTCTTTCTCGTCTATTCTAGTGGAAGACGATGATGGCGAAGCAGCTCCCGGATCTGGAGACACGTCCTTAGGTGGAGTTGGGGGGAAACTATAGAGGTGGTGTGGGCTGGAGTGAGATGCCGAAGTCAGAGATGGCACAGGAGCAGTAGAGGAACCACTGCTGCAGGGAAACCCAGACCCTGCCGGATGCAGTCCGGGCTTGCTAAAGTGGCTGACCGCCCATGGGTTGGGATGATGCGTCGCGGAAAAGGCCGCCTTGCTACTGTCCAGCCACGGGATGCCTGGACTGTGAAGGAGGTGCGGTCGGCAGACTTGACTCCCTGCGAGGCGAGCTGTAAAACAGTATCGCATTATTTTCACAAAGTAATATTTTTCAAACTGTAGAAGTAAATACGAATGGAGGCTATCATTTTTCTGTCAGAAATCCGAATGCTAAAACGATAAATCAAAGAGCACATTTCTCACCTGTTGATAAAGACTTAATTAAACACAACTCCGACATCCAGTTTAATATCCTCCAAAAGACAACAGCCTATAGACTAAGCAGAAACCACATAACCGTTTATAGAACAGAGTGAAATATAGGCTAGGCCTACGAATAGATTTAACACGTCTTCAAAAAACGTATTTTAATAGGCCTGCAATATATATTTAATTACAGCATTTTTTTCTGGGACCAACGTGCTACTTCGTCGCATTGCTGCAGGACGAATACTGAGAACTTCAGCGTTTTTAGTTTTGATTTCATATCCGGGAAGTGCCTCTCTCGTTTTATTTTTTCTGTTAAGTCAAACAGACATAGATTAATAACACGCACTTCCTTAACCAATTGCTTGCATTTTATTTGTCGTTTCTCTGCCTTTAAACGTTTCCGATGGGCAGCTGAGGAGTAGGCCTATTAATAATATAATATAGATACAAAACATAAATTCAAAATAAAATAACATTTTCATTAAAATTCATTCGCTATCATTGACATGATGAAACCTGTCCCTCGTCACTAATTAGCCTAGCTGTTTAACCCATTGTGTTATTTTTCACTTTCTGTAACGAGTTTTTTTTCTCTCTCTGATAGTTAGAAAAACATTTATATTCTGGATTTAGTGCGTCGTGTGTTATGTATTGATACGGTGGCCAGTTTCTTAAATAATAATGAAGAAACTTTAGCCTGAATGAAACGGTAAACCAATACAAAAGGCTGTTTCCTTACCACCATCTTATTGCAATCCCCGAAATCAAAATGCGAAGTATTTTAACTTGAGTTTAAAGGAGACCTCGTGGAATCAGACATAATTTTCAAAATGATTAACTTTTAGGTTTTCTATTAAGAAAATACCAGCAAAATATCCTGCGTAACTCACGCTAGCATTTTCGGGACATGGTAACTTACCGTGAGCTTGACTGTAAGACACCCTGGTTCGGGAGCTGGAATAATATGGATTTCCTTGTGAATCCAGATGGTTCAGAAAAACGTCGACCTCGTCTGGTGGCAGTAACTGGGCCATGGGGTCCATATAGTTGTGTGTCAATCCGGGGTGGTGCGAGTCCGTGTGTTGGCTGTTCAGTATAGAGTGATGATGTGACATCCACCTAGACTGGTCGGCCGCTACTTCCATCTCCAAAATTGTTTACTATTAAAAACTACGATATACAAAAATCCCTCCCCTCAAAAATACGTGTTCGATCACTTTTGCAAAAGATCTTTGTGTCCTTTAGGAAGGGATTTTCGTGTACAATTTTCTTGCCCTCAAGTAACAGTGATAATTAACGTAATGCTGTTTCCTTCTGTTTCAAGGCAAAGCCCGTAGTCTTGTTTTTCCGAGTCTTGGTTAACACCTGTAACAAGACCAAATAAAAAGAGTTAAGGAAATCTCAGCGTAAAAATCGATGTTGCTCTAAGGATGAAACGTTTTATTCGCCTTATATTAAATTCTGTGTTAAATTCTGTCTTAAAGATGCAAGCAGTTCTCAACGTCTCAATGCAACTTGAAGGAAAGAATCAGTCATTTTAGGAACAGGGCACACTTATATAAGACACCCAGTGAACTCAGCGAGCAAATTCTTACTGCAAAAATAAACAGAACAATACGTGTTTTCTTAGAAAAATACTTACTGAAAATGTTAAACCAGGATGACGTGGAAAAATTGTTTAAATAATTTTCCTTATTTTTCTGACACTGGAAATTTACACGAAAGTCCCCATTAAATATAGCGAGTATAACACTTAAAGACTTAGATGTTAAAACACTTTAGATGTTGACTCTAAACTTAATGCCATGTCATATTCGATTAGCTATTTCATTTTGTCTCCCGTAGAGCAGGTTAAGTCGCTGTTCTCTTTTACGTTGACTGGCTCTATTAGAGTCATGCAGCTGCCGACACTGTCAGGACTGGCGCCAGTAAATTCCATATCATACGCGAAGGGGCGGGTCCCATGTTCGACAGTGACCTCTCTCTGACCAATAGTAACTTCTCCTTTTGGCGATTGGCCGCTACATTCGCTGAACATCCACGCGCTTCAGTCCTCGCCCAAAACAGCAACACGAGAAAAATGTGTTGTGTGATGGGCTTTACAACTGCAGGAGTCAAAATCAATAATTTGAAATACCTTAATTCTCTTTAAATAGCAAGACAGGTTAGCCGAGTTATTACCGGAGCACTTTAAAGTAATATCCCGTGGCTCTGTAAAGTAATTAGGCCTACTGCTTTTAGAGAATATTTTGGAAAGCTGTAGGCCATCCTCCATACAAATGCATTGAATAATTATTAATATCCTCCTGAGACCCAAGGAAAAAAGTGTCCTTCAATTTTAGGTTATTCGTCTTTGGAGGAAATAAGACATCTTACAATTTAGATTTTTAAAAATTTATTTTTATTTTTAATTTCAGAGCATGTCCTCTTTAGTGTACAACAGGAATAAATACGTTTCCTTAAATCAGTGAAAAGATAGATGCAAAAACAAAATGTCCACTACAATGGACATAAATGAATGGGTGGGGTCTCAGGAGTATATAATTAATATTGATATTAATTTGATGTTTGTAATCTTTCTCATCTGATCTGTCAGTAAAGGTTGTAGTGTGATTATTATAGATTGGAGTTGTTATCGATCTTTGTATAATATAATAATTACAATGTAAAGTGTGTTTTTGGTGGTAAATGAATCTTAATTTTAAGTGTTAGTTTTTACACATCAAGAAGAACAAATAAAGATGTTAATACCTTTCGTTTCAGTTTGGGAGGAGATTTTCTCTATAGACGAAGGGGAAGCCCATTGCCTTGAGCGTCTAATTGTTTGTAATTGGCGCTTACCACATTCCTCTTATAAAAACATTGTCGTCTACCATTCTGAGCGATCAAACACCACTTTACATCTTAATAGACCCTATCTCTCACTTGGCGGCAAATAGGGCGTGAAGGCTTGTGTGAAAAAGCCGACTGGTAGCCATTGACCAGAGTTTGTTAATTCATGTTCACAATTATCTGATGGCAAAAGCCCACCAGGCACAAAGACAGTGTCGCCTGTTAACCTGATTACATGTCGCGAGGTAGCGTGTATCCTGACGACTCAGCTGATCCTCATCTTTCTGTCCATATTCTTTCCACTGTAAAATAGCACACTCTCCACTACTTTTGCCCATAATATAACGTTAAAGAAAACTCCCCGTGTTTCAGATAAATGCGTCTTGTTTTTTTTCTGTGAACGTGAACTGCATGCTGGTATTTCTATAACGGTTCGTATACATGCAGTCGACTTCGTTGTTAAAACGAATCTTGAAATATTTTATTTTTGTAATTCTGGAGGCCATTGGCTGACTTTCTAACAGAACAAGAACTCGCTACAATAGCAAACACTTGATATATTATTCAGTGAACCTGCTTGTCAGGCCTGACACACGGTTTGATCTTGTTGCAAGCGGCTGATTGCGCCGCGCTCGCCGAGACTTTCAGACTGTTCCGCCCATGTTAGCGAAACTGCGTACACCCCGCCCCCGACTTACTTTCTCTTATAGGCCTTGAGGTGCAAATTGCACCTAAAGCAGATCCTTTCGAAAAGATAAATATTTATAAAGAGTAATTGTAAAAATGAACAAATTCGAATACACGGCTTAGTTTATTCATTCGCAAGTTTTAATAAAAATACTTTAATAAAGCGATTTAAATGAAGATACAATTTTGCTACTTTGTTTTTTAGAATATGTATGAATTTTTAAATTATGGTTGCTTCTCCATTACTGATGGAGAAATGCATTATTGCTCCAGTTATTAATATTTGACTAAGCTAATTGCTAATTAAAAATAATGAACAAATGACAAACAAACGTAAATTATACATTCACAGTTAGAGCATCCATCCCGAGTTGATGTGGCATGATACGGAAATGATTGACGCATTATAATCTGGAGACAGCAGAGCCCAGACTGGCCGCCTCTTCGACGCCAAGAACTGACGTCACCTCATTAAACTGATACAAAACATAAACTTTTAATAAAACAAAACGACAAATAACGAAAAAAATGCTGAAGGGTGTTTGTGTCTCAACGGAGGGAATTAAAGAATACAGTTTCCAGGGATTCAACAATTTTTCTTTCTTCCATTTTAAATTCACCCATATCGCATTCTGATCCCATGTTTATAATAAAATGTCTCTATCGATCTGGTACGAGGAGGGTGCAAAATTAAATATATTAACTAAGGTGGCATTTGTATGGACCGGCAAGCCGTATGTATGAAAATGAGGGGTTTTACGTGAAGATAGACCTATAGAGGATCTGGATAATAAGCATAACTTCAGCATAATTCCTAATTTACATTAGGGAATATAAAATGTTACACAATTTTTCAAAAATGTCACTCATTGTTTGCCATAAGAAACAGAGCTGTTTTTATAACGCTCTCCACCATGCAGAACCCCCGACTATCAGTAATAATTCTGTTGATTGCTTTTAAAAACGCATCGGAAAATGCTGTAGTCCTGTTTCTTGAATTTCTTATGAGCTGGCCGACCTTTATACTCTTTATCTTTATTTGGGCCATTGATGGTATATCCAGAGACCTGGATGTGCTAAGAAATCTGGCTAAATGGACGTTGCCTGATTGTATATTAGAAATAGGTGCATGGAAGAAATGCATCGCATATAATTATGGGAATCATGCAGTGTTTTATTGCAGGTCCACGAATTTCCTGCCTGCTGTCATCAAACTTGCCCACTTGTTGGTCTAGAGTGTTGTTAAGACTGGCCCTTTATGCCATATCATAACGGTTTGTTGCTTATGTGTAGAGTATCTCAGCTATGCGCGCAACAAAAAATATATCCATTTAAAAGAAATGAGTTCTTTGATTTATCGTTTCGGAATTCGGATTGAGGACATTAGAAAAATAACAGCGTTAAGTCTTTCATGACTGCCCCATACACTTGTTTACTGTAAGTAAAGAACTGCTACACTTTATTTTCTTGTCGCCTGTGATTGTCGGTTATTATCTGTAGGAAGTATGTTGGCCTGTGTGAGAGCGTGCACAAATAGACAGGCAGCTTTTGCTCACATGAACCAAAGAGGCTTGGGCCAGCCTGACTGACAGTTAATCACGGTGCAAAACCGTGAAGGAGCAGCCATCGTCTCACTCTGTCCTGAAACTGAACGATAACACTTCTGCCCGTTTGATTGTTTTATGGTTTTCACCAGTCACAGACAGGCAGGAAATCAGCTTACAAAATGTTGTTGTTTATGGCGAGTGTACGTTCTTGAGCAGCCTACTTTAGAAACCTGCGAGAAGCCTCAGAATCCACCTCAACATTTAACGCAACGTGCTTGATACAGTATATTTTACACTGACTGTTCCCAAGTCACGCGGCTATATGCGAAAAGACAATTATTATATATAGTATTATATATTATATATAGTATAGTTATGATTTGTGTTCTGTGTTGGAAGCAAAGGCCTATTAGAAATGTAAACAACGTTCAAGTAGGGCTTGTGGCAAACATTTATATTTTAAAAGTATTTATAATTTCCATTCACCAGTATGTAGACAATGTCATATCATATAATTTTATTCAGGGATAATGTCTACATTCGAAACTTGAATGCCAACCAACTCCAAAAATTAGCCAATTTCTCAATTACAGACAATTTCTTCAGTAAATTGGCTATAAAATGGATAATAAGCATTACCGAAAACAGAAGGGATAACAGCTGCAATAAAACGACTACCTGGGTCTTTGATCTTTTTTATATTTTTATTTTCATTATGAACGAGAAGCAGAATGGTATTATAGTAGAATGTTATTATAGCAGAATGTTATGTACAAAAAAATGAAACAAGAATTCGGTGCAGGATTCAGCAGTCTAAGTACCTTGCAGAACGGCGCGGTAGATGGTTCACTGCCGCCGTTTTAGTGTCTATCATGCGCTGTTTTGGCAAAAAGTTATATATTTGATATATTATTTATTCACAGTTCTTTAATAAAATCGTCAATAATAATATTATTAATAACTGTTCTAAGAATTAAAAAGGAGAGAACCAGACAAAAACATAAAAAACAAAGATTATCTTGACATTACCTTTTATTTGCTGTATTCCATGTTATGGTTATCCGAAATGGACGGATGGCATTGTTATTGGTATTCGTATTACTGGCAGAAGATTTAGTTACAGTACTTCAGAAATCGTTAGTGAAGTGTCAGGGAGGTCTGTTTTCTCCCTACGCACAGTCTGGCTCTGGGAAATTATCTCGCGCCGCCCGCAGGTCTCTCGGAGGATTGGTTTTCTTACTAATCAAATTATAATTACTCCTCTGCTATTTAATCAGAGCACAGACACATTCTGGCTATTTGTGAAATTAGATTTTCTTTTCACATTGTAATAGCTAGCAACCTTTGCATTTTCACAATTTTAACAGGTCAATCTGTAAAAATAGGCAATAGATTTTTAAATACAGAAACAAAAATAGCACAACGTCAACACAAGCTGGGCTATCTAAAGTAAAATCAAATTATTTTTTCTAATCGTCTGAAAGTAAACAAAGCACAGTTTATAATAAAGTATAAAAGTGATTACTTTATTACATCATGGAAACGTATTATTGTCGTAAAGTACTACTGGCGAGTCTGCGATAAGAGTACGAGGTATAAATCGGACAAGAAACACTCACATACGTGCTGGACGTTTCTCTGGTACCATTAGTCTCTTTATCCATATGTCACGTATATGCTGGCCAGTTTTTCTCTTCACGTGCCACTCCAGCCCATATCGCTCTCTCTCTCTCTCTCTCTCTCTCTCTGTCACTCCCGCTCGCTTAGGAATAGGAAAGTAAATCAACGTGACTCGGTCGTATTTTGAGTTCACATGAGCTCGTGTCTTCTTAATGAATTTGATGCTAACATTGGACTGAATATGACTGAAGAAAAGTCTGGGTTACTCTTTTCGGGTTAACCTAACTCACGGGTGTCAAACTCCAGTCCTGGAGTCAACTCCTTGTGCTAATTACGACACAGCTCTTGAGCTGAATCATTTGTGGTGGAACAGGGAAAGAACTAAGCTACACAGGGCTCCGGCTTTCCAGGACTGGAGTTTGACATCCCTGCCCTAACTACTGATCATCCTTTGGATTGGCACGACTGCTGTAGCTGACATGGAGCCCACTTCACAAGCTTGGGGGGGGGGGGGGTCTAAGACAGGGCGTAGATGCAAGGCCGTAGTTATATATTCAGATATGCTCACAATGCC